AAAGTAATTAAATTAACTGCCACAACACATGTGATGGCAGTGTAAGTGAATCCACCCCATCGTAATAAGCGACAGAAGAAAATAAAACCCATCATCGGTTTTATTTTCTTACAGCCCACCATCAGTTTCCTGATAATAAACATTCAAAATAATTGTTATACCACAGGTTATACTACAGGTTATACCAGTTATACAACAGATTATACCGCCATCATCGGTAGCCATAAGATATCTCTGGTATTTCCTAAAGTCGCCTTAAGAGGCAACGCTCACGGAACAAAATGGGGTAATTGGTTTCCTTTATGCCGTCACTACACAAGTAAATATTATTAATTACCTTTACAAAGTCTTAAAACATTTTACTGTGATTGTGTTCCGGTAATGTTTCACAGATTATTTAGAAATATTAATCAGAGTTCTCAAGGCACTCTTCAACGAGTATTGAGGGACATGAATTGCATAAAGGTTAAAGTGAATTTTATTACTGCTCGGCGGTCCGGCAACACGCATTGTGGCAGGGTTACGGACTCTTGCTGACCTGGTAAACACTCTCAGAAGATGACTTTTCAATTTACTTTTACTTATTGTAACAGTTCATAATTTGAAATAAAAAATATAGGTATAATAATATAAAGACTACTTCATGTTATAACGTTTCCTAAAGTCACAATATAAATATTTAAACGTATTAAAAAGTGAATTTTCAAATTAGCTCATGTAAGAATAAAATCATTTTAAAATTAAGAGAAAACCATCCATCGCAGCGGCAATGCAGGTTTAAAGAATAATGATAAACGATAACCCCGGCTCTATCAGCGGCATTATACGTTCTCATTGTGCCCGTAGAGACCGGGTCTTTGCCGATAAAGCACGACACTCAAAAGGATACAAGAAACGCTTTCATCTCATCCGCTTACACAAGTGGCCGTTTCCTAAGCGAGGACGGGGTGTCTAATGACGTCGTTATCTTCGCTTATATAAATGACGTGACTTACTTTTTTTGTTTTTAAATACTGTAACATGATATGAAAACACAGTAAATAAAATTTAATCTAAGCTTGTATGGACTTATGGGTAATTTATAGACGCCATTCGACGCATTGCGTTGAGGCAGTGAGGCGGATATTTCCTTTCCCTAAACCTAAAACCCCTCTCAGAAATGAGGACAGGCCTGACAGGCCCAGCAGTAGGACGTATATAAGCTGTAACTTTAACGTTTAACTTTATATTCTCAAATCTTTATTAATTGAATCATATATATATATATATATATATATATATATATATATATATATATATATATATCAAATATTCTTCTACAACCACTTTTTAAAATGCATAACAAAATTTAAAAGGGGCAATAAAGATTGTTGACTGCTGTGAAAAGATTTGCTATTTCGCTGCATCGCTTTCCTGATAAGAAATATTTTATGAAATGCACTTCGTGGGAGCAATTTAACTGTGCTTTTGAATTTTTCCTAAGCTCACAAGCTCTTTTCAGATTAAAAATTGGGTTGAAAAATAAATTCGTTTTGATTTTATGCCAAAACTCAATTGTTCGCAACCAACGTATTTAATTTAAAAAAATTGTTCGTGTTAATAATTACAACTATACAAAGTGAAACTTCTTTACGACATATCATTCTTCTTTCATTTGATATTTTACATAAGTAGGTTAAATAATAGTATATACATGCAGCCCCGGTGATGAACCGGTACAAGTGAGGGTCGATCCCCATTTTCCGTTCACAGTTCGTTGTCGGTCCGATCTCGGGCTTTTTATGTGTTTAATACCCTTCTAATTTTTTTTCACTACGTCGATAAAGAAGTTTCACTTCAAAAACAGCACTAATGCTAGTAGAACCACGCCCCAAATAGCTCCGTATAAATTTTATTATGTATGTAAATAGTTAATTTATCGTGGGAATTATAGGTAAGGTAATAACCGAACATTGCTCTAACGAAAATGTAAGTTAGTTTAAAGAACAATCTTAACTTTGTAGTGGAGAAAAATGTTTTCCGATACATCGGCCTATATTTTTTCATGTGATATGACGACAATCGGTTTTCGGTTTTGGTTGTTCCGTCTTTAATAGGTCACAAAAGAAATTGAAAATGAGGGACTCGAAGCCACAATTTTTGTAAGAATATGCGGCTCGAGAAAACTAAAAATGGTACGCGAGGTATGGCCCAGTTGGAAGCGGTTGCAATAAATGCCCGTGGTGCGCAGGTTCGATGCAGTTAAAAGCGGTAATAAGATTTTCAGACCTATTTTTTATATAATTTATATTATTTTAGGTCAACAGGGTACCCTATTTATGATACGTGACTTCGTGTGTAATAAAATATGTGATACAAATGGTTTTCATACCTTTTGATTACTTTTACGTAAAAACTTTAACTTTTTACCACTATAAAGGACTATCAACCTTGGTATTCGATATTCATTTCAACTTGATACTTCTATCAAGACGGACAACAAAGTGGTTCTATAAGGATCCCGGTTTTCCCTTTGAGATACGGATACCTGTAAAAAAAAGAAATAAGTTTATTTAACGCCTAACGAATAAATAATCCACCCATCTATCGTCTTCCTACATATAGTATATTATCTAGATCCAGATCCAGATCGTCACTCCATCTAGTGGAGATCCTCCCAGAAGAAGACGTTAAATAATAAAAAAATGGACGTAATTTAGTTTGCCCTCACTATGATCTTCCAATTTTAGTGGTAAATGCAAATTAAAGAAATGCGGAACAATTTTAAATTTATATATGCAATGAAGCTTTAAAGGAAATTGGTTTGAAAACGAAATCCTTGTTTAATTCACGAGACATTCGAGAAAGGAAGAAAAGGAAACATAATTCCATTTAAATTCAAATTAATTTATTCGTTTGCGATATTTGGGTTACAATAGATCTTAATAATTTCAACCAAAATACAGCCATATTCTACCTTAATTTATGCAAAGGAATTAAAAACAAGACATTTTTAATAATTATAATAAAAAGCTCTGACAATTCATTCACTTAAGCTTCTTCGTGTAAACGAGCTTTTTATATCAGCTTTTCTTTTATTGCCTAGTATTAGGCAGTTATATTTACTTTGTAATAAGTGAGCAAAGGATTCAAACGCGATTAGACCACCATTCCAGATGAGCTTGAGTCACATGAAGCCAGAAGAAAATTTTTATCATTCATGTTCAAGAAGATAAGGATTCTTTCTACACAACAATAATAATGTCCTCCAGATCAAATTTCGCTCGCTGCGAGCAGTCTTAACGGAGACTAGCCATCTGTGCAAGGCAGGATTATAGAGCATCAGTATCTGCGCAAAGATCTCTATTTTCTTACTCTCATAGTCCGATATGACTGGAGAAAAATCAGGAGTAAAATAAAGGGCTTTACGTACTTACGTATAATTACGTATACCTTGAACGAATTAACCATGTGGTTAATTCGTTCAAGACGTATGACTTACGCATAGTTACGTATAGTTACGTATAATTACGTAGTACGTAATTAGGTATAATATTTAATGACTTCTTCTTTCGTACGTATATTTATAATACGTACGTATATTTATAATCATTAAATATTGTTTATATTATCAATATATTTTTATAAATATTATTTTTAAATAATTTTTTTTTCAGATTATTTTATATTGCACGTTGCACCTATCCGTCAAAATATAAAATTATAATGTCCTTTTATGTTCGGTTTGTCAGGCATAAATCGCTTAAAGCGATTTGACCACCGTTTATAGTCATAAGTTTTCCGATATTGTAATAACTTTGTTCAAATGCAATAAAGAGTTATCTATCTATCTACCTTTGCGGGGCAGGGGGGTATAAGACCACCAACTTCTTGACTCCGGGCTGTTACTTTTCTCGACAGAAAAACATAATAACTGATTCTGACGAGACCCGGAAATTGAATTTGGGACCACATGATCAGCAGTCACGCTTACGACGACTAGTTCAATGAGGCAGTCAAACACACGTAAAGTAAAGTATAGCGATAAATAATCTCTTTGGTTGTTTCTTAGCTTCATCACTATGCTCAGCCACGGTTCTACAGAGACGTCAATTTAATTTCAATATGCCTTCTTTGACAAATGTACTCTAATTAAACTTGGAAATCTAAATTTTGAATGAGCGTAATTTACGGGTCTTTATGACCATCATCGCTTTTACAACCCATCACCGGTCCAGTATTGAACGTAGGCCTCCACGAAGGAATACCACAAAGCACGATCCTGAGCCACGGGTCTTAAAATTGCTAAAATAGTCTTGGTCATGTAGCAATAATAAAATCTTGAACGTTAGTCTATGCCCTTATATTTCTATACGTGGTAGAGCCACGCTGGAGCTATATTTTGGTTGTACTCGTATGGGTCGGCTCGACGGGGAAAGGACCACGCTCTCACAAAATACCGGCGAAAAATAGCAGCTCAACCAAGTAAGTGTTGAGGTCCGGAGACCCTTTTTTACTGGAAGCGAGGCATTCCATCTAAGTCGTCAGGGCCTAACAACGCTTTGTTAATGAAGATAAATGTAGATGTCTATGAGCCAATAGGTATTCTTATTCTTTCAATATTTCTTTGTATAATTAACTGTCTAATTTATCACTTATTTCCCTTGAAATGAACTTTATTTTTGAGCAATTTTATCACAATATGTCCTTACATCATGCGGTATTCAGTACGTAAAATTGCAATTAGCACCTTTTGCGCTAACAGAGATTAAACTCAGGCCAGTGACCTATGACAAAATATACTTTAAGCAAGCGTTTAACTGTTTATACCGTAATGCGGAAAATTTGCTCATTCATTACAGCCTATCACAGTCCTGAACGTAGCTGTACATGTAGCTGAATATAAATGCAATATAAGGCAATCTTTGGGCCGTTCCCGAAAGATTGCCTCATATGGCAAATATTTACCATAAATGTCACGCTAGGCAGGCGATGTCCGTTAACGCATGCTAGCCTATAGAATGACTATAGAACCCGATAAAATTTACTATTTCCTATTTACAGATTCAGAACTCGAGGAGTTGGGTGAACAAATGCCGCGATACCGCCCTGATTCTATCGCAGCACTGCGTCGGGCGACTCGTTTCACTGAACCAGAATTGAAGAGACTGTACCGAGGGTTTAAGGCAGAATGTCCTACTGGTGTGGTGCGTGAAGATACATTCAAGCATATATATGCCCAGTTCTTCCCTCAAGGAGGTAAGTATAGCAGACAGAAAATGAACAGAACGTTAATTTCGTAGTTCATAACTATAGAAAAAAGTTTAGTAACAGCTTATGATCGCGCTACTTCTTGCCATACATCTTACGTACTCGAAAATTGGGGAGTAATAGGGTCTTCATTTTAATTTTCTAATACCCAAGTATTCGTATTATATTGCACTCATCGAACGCGAAGCTGAGATATAGTGATCTATTGTTACCATATCAAAAAATCACTATCCACTCAACTTAAATCACTTCCACCAGCTTTATATGTACTTTTGTACTTATGTAATAAAAAAGTACACCAATAGCAAGAGGATATTTTATTTAATACTTCTGATGTAGATATCAAATTATTCATTTTAATTATTATTAAAAAATTGAATTAAAAATAATTCCACTTGGACATCAGTTGGTCGATACGGATGTGAACAAGATATGTTTCGAAAAACTTATCTCTTTTTTTCGGTAACAAAATACGAATCACAGGTACCAAGCAGTTAAAAAAACGTTTTAATTAAACAGAAACAATTTTTGTAGCTTTAAACGAAATACCTGTTGCGGTAATTAATAAAAGTTAATTGATTAGTCAAAACATTACATGAGCATCGAGGTGTGTCTTTTGGATTTTCCAAACGTTTATTCTTATGGTGCTAACGAAGACCGCAATCAGACAACTCGCGTTCTATAAGAATTTAAGATGAGTGCTGTTGCCTTTTCTTTAGCAGACACGGCTCAGATAGAAATTACAATAACAATAGTTTAAACAAATGAAAATGATATTAAAAAATCAAAAAAAAAATTCAGAGTCACAAATGAATTATTTTTAAATGTTTTAAAATCCACAAAAATAAATAGTTAGAAATAATGAATATTATTCATTTAACTACCATTAAATTTAATGTAGCGATTATTTCTGAGTGGTCGTGAGTTATCTAAAACGTACCAATTGTGCTTTTATATACTTTATTAGTGGATTTCAGGTTTTCAGATAACCCGCAACTACTCCATTGTGGCAGATATAAAGGACAAAGTTACTTAATTTTTAAAATTTAATTTAAGTTACCTTTCCGTGTATGTGATATAGATATAGAAATGTCTCGTCACAATTCTAACGAAAATAATTTAAATTTATGTTTCTGTTTAACCGCGTACTATGGAATTAGGGAATGGAGGTAAATTTTATAGTCGAACAACTTTATTTCAAGTACAACTTAAGTAAATAGGGAAGTTCAGAAGTACGCTTGGTTAATACTTTACTTTAAAAATAAACGAAAAGGCGGATCCCGTATCATAAAATGGTTACCCAAACTTTATATGAAATGACTCACTAATTTCTGATTATAGGCTATCAAAATTCTTCTGTTAAACACGGGCCTCCCCGATCGATTTTACATAATTTATGGGAAATTTTACCATAGCGAGTTGGCACACATTTACGAACTTAAAAATATTTTAAATCACGATTCTAGAACACATAGTAAAAATTCAAAGTAGATTGATATTTTCTAGACATTTCCACATATTTTTATTTTAAAAATTCAATAATTTATTTCCCGATTCCATATGTGAAAGTAATAAAAGAAAACTATTAGCAACGAAGAAATAATGCAAGGTAAGTTATTTGTAATAATAAATATATTGTATACTTTTTATATTTTGGATGAATGAATTTATTTTGCTGTTAAGTACTCGGCAAATTTTTAAGTTAACTAAAATTCCCGTAAGCCACTAAGTATTCTTTAGATGTGGTATAAGGATTCAGGCAGTTTTTGATTGACGGGTTCAAACTCACGCCTTTCGAATTTACGGTTCGTGTTAAAAGCCGAGGCTAATATCACTTTAACATATATTATTTCAACATAATTAATGTAACAAATAATTTTACTGGTTGGCGACTCGTTTTCTGTTTGGGAGGTTTTATTCTATTTCTGCCACCAATAACAGTACCTGTACTGTTATGTTTTATTCTATTTCTGCCACCAATAACAGTACCTGTACTGTTATGTTTTATTCTATTTCTGCCACCAATAACAGTACCTGTACTGTTATGTTTTATTCTATTTCTGCCACCAATAACAGTACCTGTACTGTTTTGTTTTATTCTATTTCTGCCACCAGTAATAGTACCTGTACTGTTATGTTTTATTCTATTTCTGCCACCAATAACAGTACCTGTACTGTTATGTTTTATTCTATTTCTGCCACCAATAACAGTACCTGTACTGTTATGTTTTATTATATTTCTGCCACCAATAACAGTACCTGTACTGTTATGTTTTATTCTATTTCTGCCACAAATAACAGTACCTGTACTGTTATGTTTTATTCTATCTCTGCCACCAATAACAGTACCTGTTCTGTTTGGGAGGTTTTATTCTATTTCTGCCACCAATAACAGTACCTGTACTGTTATGTTTTATTCTATTTCTGCCACCAATAACAGTACCTGTACTGTTATGTTTTATTCTATTTCTGCCACCAATAACAGTACCTGTACTGTTATGTTTTATTCTATTTCTGCCACCAATAACAGTACCTGTACTGTTATGTTTTATTCTATTTCTGCCACCAATAACAGTACCTGTACTGTTATGTTTTATTCTATTTCTGCCACCAATAACAGTACCTGTACTGTTATGTTTTATTCTATTTCTGCCACCAGTAACAGTACCTGTACTGTTATGTTTTATTCTATTTCTGCCACCAATAACAGTACCTGTACTGTTATGTTTTATTGTATTTCTGCCACCAATAACAGTACCTGTACTGTTATGTTTTATTCTATTTCTGCCACCAATAACAGTACCTGTACTGTTATGTTTTAGTCTGAAGGGTATAGACAGCCAGTGCAATTACAACCGAGGTTTTCCATTTTAATTCTCAAAGGTAACAGCGCATATTATTTGTTTGAATTTGGCTGTAGGTGTACTAGGACTGCCATCAGGTGGACTGTAAATTCCTATGTCATTTGCGTATTATAAAAAAATCAGAATCGTGTTGAAAGTATCGCAGATGTTGGTAGTGGTAGAGACTTAACAACCTCTTATTTTGCAATATAACAGTGATACCTCTTAAAAGTAATAATAGTGAGATGTTGTAAAACGTGACGAAAAATGGTCACACTCAGTCTTTGGTTTGGCAAACCACTACCACTGGTCTCGATTTTGGTGTCGCCTGAAAGTCGAGTAACCTGTTCCTAAGGCTACATAAGAGACACTATAAATTACGAATGCCTGAAAGGTCATTGCTTCTAATAGGGGAAGGTATTATGCCAGATGTAAAGTACCTAGGCCGGTGACGGAAAAGAATGCCTGCCAAGCGTGACGAATATGGCAATTATAATGTAAGGGGCCTAAGTTTTATTAATTAATTAAATTTTAAATGAACGCAGTAAGAAATACTGAGTTTGAATCTATCACACCATATGTAACATACAAACTTGATGAGGACCACGACAACCACTTTAAATGCTCTCAAAAAGTACCAACTGCAAAAAAAATACAATAATATACACATTCAATTACCATTGAGTTATACAAAACTAGAGGAGCAAACCACATTACCGCGCGTCGAAAAAAGTGTAACCACTATCCAACCGCGACGACTTAGCTTTGAAATTACTAAACATCTTAAATAAACATATACCTGTCTCACTTATACAAGTTGCGAAATCAATATTGTCTCTAAGATTAGATAAAGATAGACACACCAAACATGCAATGACGGTTTGGTGTGGCTTACTATATGAAATTTAACCCAAAATACGCAATAAAAAGGAGTTTTTTTAAGCTGCAGTTAATTGTTTTTATTAAAAAAGTACATTTTCTTATCAGGTGAATAGAAGTTAGCATAACTGATGAAATAAAACATATTTTTATAGGTAATAAAATATAATTAATATAAAATATAAAATTTATATAAAAATAAAATTATAACCAATATAAAATTATTAATATAAAATTGGTAATAAAATATATTGAACAGATAATTCATGAATAAACATAAGAATAATTAATTATTTTGTATGAAAGTTAAAACGTACTTTTTATTATAATTTCCAAAATATTTAAAATCAGCGGTAACAAATTAACTTACTCCATTAATTATGTAATCTCCCGTTAATGTGGGATAATCACAAAGGCGGAAACATTTAACCTAAATCGCAATATTCGATAATTTTATTTAATTATTTGAGGTTTTTACGTTTACATGGACACATGAACAGAAACTTATGTGTGGAAAGTGATTCCGCTTGATTTATTATGTTTTAATGACCTTGAATCGCGTTCTTTCACTACGAATTTACCCATTTTTTGTCGCGGATCGTTGGGCTCAACTCTGTCGGCGTCACATTGAACACTGAACTGACGTTAGCTAGGCATATGACTGTGGTCATATGTGCAGTGGCAACGTAATATACGTTACGTAACAACGTAAATAAATCAATGTCTATTACACTCACCTGCACAAGCACCCCCTTTTGCCTGAACTGTCGCTTACGCAATGTCAGACTTATGCCAGCCCTCTGGCACTCTTGCTACCTGCGTGAAATATATATGCAGTCGGGGCTAGCGCGTTGTATTCGCTGGAATGTTAAAGTTTTTAATGCTGTTTACGTAAATAGTTTTTGTAAATACTTGTTAAATATTTTTTGTTTAGTGTTTAGTATATTAAATTGTAGGATAAAATTGTTAAAAAAGTTTTAATGTAATTTTAAAATTATATATACTACGTTATTAACTATTTGATAAATTGTAATGGCAAAATGTCGTCCATACTATAATTGTTGCGTGGATAAATGCTAAATGACCAACAAAAGGTTTCAGATATATCATTCTTTAAATTACCGAAGGATTTTAGTAGGAAGTTATGAAAAGTGATTTTTTTTTTGCATATTTTTTGTTAGCTAGGTACTTATAGTAAAAAATAATTAAGTAATAATGTATCTAAAGAAGTAATAATTACGTACTTTATTACAAAACTTAGTTGAAATTTACTTCACTATCCAAGTATCTTCTAACATACCAGTACTTGTCTTTTGCAATTAAAATATTTTAAGTTATAATAACACAAATCATTGTTTAATAGCAAGATTTTTAACCAAGTAGAATACGATCACATTGAATCGTATATCAGGTTTATTTGTTGTTTACACTATCTATCTATTTCTTAAGAGCCAAGCATCGCGATTCCCGACAAATGACTGCATTGGGCATATACTCGTATGAACTGTAATAGGTGCGAAAATATGGTCAGTCGATCATAGTCAGAATAGGTCCTTGACCTAAGTAACTTAATTAACATTTTGCAATGTATTTTTTTTACTCTTAATTGACATCCCTTAGTAACCACGAAAAATCCGCCGTGACGAAGGAAGAGGAAAAGTGCAAAGTATTACGGAAACTCGTGCGCAACGATAAAGTTCTTTTTAGCTTGCGTGTGCGATTTATCAAATTAATAATAATTATGTAGGCTATTAAACGTCGGCAGGCAGTCAACATCAAAGGAGTGCAACTTTTGTACGTAGTACTATTATTTATTCTGTGCTTATCCTATAAAACCGGCAATACAACATGTTGGCCAAGCTTTATTCAACGCGAATGTAGGCAAATTTATGCAAGGCGAGTGCTACAGTCTACATGTTGGTCAAATTTGAAGGAGTGAATATACTGACATAACTGACTAGCATTTGGACACGACCTGTCGAGTGCATTTATGCAGAAAATCTGGCATTGTTCCGAAGTGAAACGAGTCGTTGCGAGCGATCCCAAGTGGTGGCAAGGCAGGCAAAACGCACCCTATGCACGTTAGTCTCGCCTGCAGTCAGGCAGCTAAGTGAGCGATGACGAGCAATGGCAAACCGAGTCAAATGGGCTCTCTATACGTTGGTACTCGCCTTCGCTCGGCCAACATGTGTATTGAGGCTTATGATCTTAGACAGAATCACAATATAAATCGACAATTTGTGTTTTTGCATAAATTTCAACTTCGAATGATATTCTATCCTAGGATCTGCGGCATAACAGCCATTACTAACTA